GTAGACATGGAGTAAAATACAGATTGAGGGTAAACTGCAGACTATACAGACTGTAGACAAGGAGTAAAATAGAGAATGAGGGTAAACTTAAGACTACAGACTGTAGACAATGAGTAAAATACAGAATGAGGGTAAACTGCAGAGTATACAGACTGTAGACAAGGAGTAAAATGCAGACTAAAGGTAAAATGGAGACTATACAGATTGTAGAGAAGGAGTAAAATGCAGATTGAAGGTAAACTGGAGACTATACAGACTGTAGACAAGGGGTAAAATGCAGACTGAGAGTAAACTGTAGACTATACAGACTGTAGACAAGGAGTAAAATACAGACCGAGGGTAAACTGCAGACTATACAGACTGTAGACAAGGCGTAAAATGCAGACTGAGGGTAAACGGCAGACTATACAGACTGTAGACAAGGAGTAAAATACAGACTGAGGGGAACAGACTATACAGACTGTAGACAAGGTTTAAAATAGAGACTGAGGGGAAACTGGAGACTATACAGACTGTAGACAAGGAGTAAAATGCAGACTGCAGGTAAACTGCAGACTATACAGACTGTAGACAAGGAGTAAAATAGACTGAGGGTGAACTGTAGACTATACAGACTGTAGACAAGGAGTAAAATACTGACTGCAGGTAAACTGCAGACTATACAGACAGTAGACAAGGAGTAAAATACAGACTGCAGAGGGTAAACTGGAGACTATACAGACTGTAGACAAGGAGTAAAATCCAGATTTAAGGTTAACTGGAGGCTATACAGACTGTAGACAAGGGGTAAAATGCAGACTCAGAATAAACTGCAGACCATACAGACTGTGGACAAGGCGTAAAATATAGACTGAGGTTAAAATGGAGAGCAAACAGACTGTAGACAAGGAGTAAAATAGAGATTGAAGGGAAACTGGAGACTATACAGACTGTAGACAAGGCATAAAATACAGACTGAGGGTAAACTGCAGACTATACAGCTTGTAGACAAGGAGTAAAATACAGACTGAGGTTAAACTGTAGACTATACAGACTGTAGACAAGGAGTGAAATACAGAGTGCAGGTAAACTACAGACTATACAGTCTGTAGAAAAGGAGTAAAATACAGACTGAGGGTAAACTGCAGACTATACAGACTGTAGACAAGAAGTAAAATACAGATTGAAGGTAAACTGGAGACTACACAGACTGTAGACAAGGGGTAAAATACAGACTGAGAGTAACCTGCAGACTATACAGAGTGTAGACAATTCTTAAAATACAGACTGAGGGTAAAATGGAGACTATACAGACTGTAGACAAGGAGTAAAATACAGATTGAAGGTAAACTGCAGACTATACAGACTGTAGACAAGGAGTAAAATATAGATTGAGGGTAAACTGGAGACTATACAGACTGTAGACAAGGAGTAAAATACAGATTGAGGGTAAACTGAAGACTATACAGACTGTAGACAAGGGGTAAAATACAGACTGAGGTTAAACTGGAGAATATACAGACTGTAGACAAGGAGTAAAATACAGACTGAGGGTAAACTGGAGACTATAGAGACTGTAGACAA